GAATTCTGTCCTCAGAGTGGGAATCCCCTGCAATGTGATTTCCTGAATTCTGTCTCTCAGAGTGGAAATCCCCTGCAATGTGAATGTCTGACCAGGGGCGGACTGACCATTTGGAAACTTGAGGGCCCGGGGTCAGTAGGGGGTCCAACGAGATGCCCCTGGTACCTTTTTCATAGGCGTTTTTGATTTTGGTAAGGACACAGGGGCCCCATGATTCCCTATTGCCCGGGGGGCCCCATGAGTTGTCAGTTCTCCCCTGTGTCAGACCCTCCATGATGGAGAAATGGGAGAACTTTCAGAATCGCAGGGGGTTCAGATACTTCTGTTCCTCACTGTATTTGTGTTTCGGCTCTATGGGCCGTCGCCCTACATTGGAAGTGGTCAGCAGTGCCATTGCCCTCAGTCTTGCAGAGATGCTTATGGAGAGAATTCATTACATGCTATTGGACAAGATGCATTTATTCGATAGGAAGTGGGGGGGGGGGGGGGTTGGAAGACGCACAGACACCTACTGATCGCACGGTGAATGTTTTTAGATTCAAATGACAGAGTTTTTTGTTGGTCGTATTATTTATCTGCTGCTCTTCTATTTTGTTTCTACACTTATAGTTTGCCGTAAAATGATTGTATTTTTTGATATTTACACCACAGATGGGCCTCATCCTTGTCTTGCATTACAATATATTGATGCCGTAAAGTTGTTCTTTGCAGACTAATTCATAAAAATCTAATAAAATCGTTTGGAAACAAAAAGAAGTCTCAGTATTCTTTGGTTCACTTCAAAATAACTCTGTGTCTATTTTTCTTACCGTCATTTTTTACATAGATCTTTATGCATCTATACGACCCAAAGGGCGGACTGACAACTCATGGGGCCCCCTATGAAAAAGGTACCATTGGCATCTCATGGGACCCCCTACTGACCCCGGGCCCTCGGGCAGTGCCCGAGTTTCCAAATCGCCAGTCCGCCCCTGATACGACCTTTAACCCCTCGCGCTCCAGAGGAATCCCGCCCCCCCCCTTCCTGACCAGGCCATTTTTGCATTACGGCGCTGCGTCACTTTAACTGACAATTGCGCGGTCATGAAACGCCCAAAATAAATTTACATGCTTTTTTTCCCACAAATTGAGCTTTCTTTTGCTGGTATTTGATCGCTGGTGCATTTTTTAAATTTTTTTTTGCGCTCTATATATATATACAAAAAAAAAGACTGACAATTTTGAGCAAAAAAAAACTATATTTTTGACTTTTTGCTATTAAACATGTCCAGTAAAAAATCTAATTTCATGATAAATTTAGGCCAAAATGTCTCCCGCTCCGCGTCTTCGCTAAAAAAAATCCCGATACGTGTAAATTAATTGGTTTACGTGAAAGTTATAGCGTTTACAAATGGCGGTACAGATACGGGGATTTTTGTTTTTTACTAGTAATGCCAGCAATCAGTGACTTATAGCAGCGGGCATTCTGACACTGAGGGGGGGAACTGACTTAGTGTCACTGATATCCCCAGTGACACCAATACAGTGATCAGTGCTAATAGAAAGCACTGACACTGTACTAATGGCACTGGGCAGGAAAGGGTTAACATCTGGGGCGGATCAAAGGGTTAACTGTGTGCTGTGTGTTTTTTTACTAGGGGCTGTGTTTGTGTGCTTCACTGTAAGCACACTGCTTTGCATGGCTGTGCTATGCAGAGCCATGAAAAGCAGTGTGCAGGAGCTGACAGGGGAGAGAACTGATTTGTTTACTGACAGTTCTCCCCCCCCCCATTAGAGATGCTCGGCAATCACTGGGTGCCGGCGAATAATCACCGTCTGGGACCTGGTGATTGACAGCCACGGCCCTGAATAGTGGCGCAGGTAGGGTATGCGCGCGCCTCGTGTGCGCCCCCTACTGGAAATACAAACTCACGTATATATACATGATTTTGCGCACCCGTGCCGCCCTGTAGCAGTACTTCTGGGGACGGGAAGTGGTTAAGAGGCACAATGTTTTCATAAATACGCAGCTCAGATTTTTTCAAAATTGGACAAAAATGTGAAAAAAAAAGTTCATTCATGGATGAGGGGAGGGAAGGCTCATTGATAGAGGCAGGGGAAGGAAGGCTCATAGATGGAGGTGGGGAAGGAAGTCTCATAGATGGAGGTGGGAAGGAAGGCTCATTGATAGAGGCAGGGGAAGGAAGGCTCACTGATGGAGGTGGGGAGGGAAGGCTCGTTGATGGAGGTGGGGAGGGAAGACTCATTGATGGTGGAGGGGAGGGAAGGCTCGTTGATGGAGGTGGGGAGGGAAGATTAATTGATGGAGGAGGGGAGACAAGTCTCATTTATGGAGTTGGAGAGGAAAGGCTCATTGATGGAGGCGAGGGAAGGAAGGCTCACTGATGGAGGAGGGGAATAAAGGCTCATTGTTGGAGGTGGAGAAAGAAGATTCATTGATGGAAGAGGGGACGGAAGGCTCATTGATGGAGGTGGAGAGGAAACGTTCATTGATGGAGAAGGGGAAGGAAGGCTCACTAATGGAGATGGGGAAGGAAGGCCAGGACCTGGTGATTGACAGCCGCGGCCCTGAATGGCGGCACGGGTAGGGCATCAATGCACGTGCCTCGTGTGCGCCCCCTACCTGGAAATGAAAACTAACGTATATATACAGTACATGATTTTGCTCACCCATGCCGCCCTGTAGCAGTACTTCTGGGGACGGGAAGTGGTTAAGTGGCACAATGTTTTCATAAATAGACAACTAAGATTTTTTTCAAAAATTGACAAAAATGTGAAAAAAAAGTTTAGTTTTAGTTTGCATAACAAGCAACATATTTTACATCATTCATACAATTTCAAATCATGTCCTGAAATCATTTTCTCCTGTTTCACCGTCCCAAGTACAGGGGCCCCAGATAGGTGCCGGTTTGGACATAGTATACAGTATATCAGTGCTGTATGGTTGGTAAGCTGGAAAAACAAGTCTGATCCATGGAGGCCCCAAATCACAACTTACAGGACTTCGGTGACCTGCTACTGATGGCTTGGTGCCAGATCCCACCATGGGGGATGGTCATCATTATAGGTGAGCAGAGTATATCAGTGCTGTGTGGTAGATAACTAAGTGTCCAACATTATATATTCAGTGCATTGATGGCTGGTCATTGGTAGCACATCCCTTACAATATTTACAAAAACAGTCATGGAGGAAATTATTGGGTCTTTTTAGGGGCCAAACAAGACTATCGGATAATCTGTGTGTAAAACTCGTGTTTTCTTTGTATTCTGAGGAAGGTGATTGTTAAACTCATCAACATTTAGCTGATTCTTTATTGCACAAACGGACCTGTATCCATTCAGGATCAAGTCATTTGCAGGCATGATGGATGAAAAATACCAGACTGTGTTGTATTAAAAAGGCTCATTGATGGGAGGGGGAGGGAGGCTCACTGATGGTGGTGGGGGGAGGGAGGCTCACTAATGGTGGTGGGGAGGGAAGGCTCATTGATAAAGGTGGGGAAGGAAGGCTCATTGATGGAGGTGGGGGGAGGGAGGCTCACTAATGGTGGTGGGGAGGGAAGGCTCATTGATGGAGGTGGGGAAGGAAGGTTTATTGATCAAGGTGGGAGGAAAGGTTCATTGATAGAGGTGAGGTGGAAAGACTCATTAATGGTGGTGGGGAAGGAAGGCTCATTCATGGAGGGAGTGAGGGAAAATTCAGTGATGGAGGTGGAGAGAGAAGGCTCATTGATAGAGGTGGGGAGGGAAGGTTCATTGATGGAGGTGAGGTGGAAAGACTCATTAATGCTGGTGGGGAAGAAGACTCATTCATGGAGGGAGTGAGGGAAAATTCATTGATGGTGGTGGGAAGGAAGGCTCATTGATGGAGGTGGAGAGGAAAGGCTCATTGATGGAGGAGGGGGAAGGAAGGCTCACTAATGGAGATGGGGAAAGAAGACTCATTAATGGAGTGGCAAAAATAAAGATAATCGAAATTACAAGCAGGTGACGCATTAAAACCTGTTACAGAACTGGTTTTGGAAGCCATGGAAAGCTATCAGCTGACCCAAGGAAGAAGTGTAGATGCAGAATAGGAGAGGTCCAAGGACAGAACCTTGGGGGACCATGACAGTAAAAGAGTAGGAGAGGAGGAAGTAGAGTTGTAAGTGACACTGAAGGTGCGGTGAGATAGGTAAGATTCGAACCAACGGAGAGTACGGTCATGGAGACCAAGTACATAGAAGTTTTTGAGGAGGAGGGGGTGGTCAACTGTGTCAAAGGCAGCGGAGAGGTCCAAGTGTAAGAGTACAGAATAGGACCATTGGTTTTAGGGGTTACTAAGTAGTTTCAGAGTTTTAGGAGAGCAGTTTCTGTGGAGTGTTGCGGGCAAAATCCAGACTGAAAAGCGGATCGAGAAGGTTATTCACAATAAGGTGGCAGCTCAGCCGCTTCTAGACTAGACGTTCAAGGAGTTTGAAGGCAAAAGGAAGTAAGCAGATGGGTCTTAGGTTGTTAAGATTGGTGGGGTCCAGTGGGGCCTTTTAAGTATGGGGGTGACTAGAGCATGGTTTAGATAGTTGGGGAAGATGCCAGTAAAAAGGGAGAGATTGAAGATATGAGTTAAAGAATGAAGGATAGAGCCAAGAGGTGACTGTAGTACTTGAGAGGAGCAGGGTCCAGGGGGCAGGGGGTTAGGTGGGCTTTAGAAAAATGTTTACCAACCTCCTCTATAAATTCCAGTATATATCCCATAATCTGTAGACGCTGTAACTTTTCACACAAACCAATTAATATACACTTATTGGAATTTTTTTTTTTTTACCAAAGACATTTAGCAGAACACATTTTGGCCTAAATGTACGACTATATTTGAGTTTATTGAATATTTTTTAGAATGTAGAAAATATTGTTTTTTTCAACATTTTTTATCCTTTTTGGAGGCACTTCCGCCAGTATCCTTTTTAGGCATGTTTGTGTCAGGGCAGGGGGCCGAGGAACGGACAGGCAGGCCTAACAATGTAACGCACTGGCTGACGACAACCACTACCCACAGACCGAAGTCCCTCAGGGCGCGGAGTCTAAGTCCCAGGCTGTCCTTCACCAGGGCCCCTGATGGTGGGGATGGACTTGACGCAGCCAGGAACCAGGTCGCGGCCCCCGAGACACCTCAGCTGCGGTAATGGCCGCCGCCAATGGCGTGTAGCTGGTGGAAGAGACAAAAGAGTAGTCAGACAAGCCGGGTCAACACCAACAGGACAAAACAGTACAGGACAGCAGACGAGAATCACAGGTCACAAGCCGGGTTCAGCAACAGAGGGTCAGATCAAGGGAGAATACAAAGAATAGTCAAGTCACAAGCCGAATCAGAATACCAGGAGAGTCACGAGAGTCAGAACAGGTAAAGCGACACAAAGACACAAAGACACAAGTGCAAAAAGAGCATGTGCGGGCCACAGGCTTATATGTCATCAGCCACACCCCTCTGGGGGATGGACCACAAAGACCTGAAGGCATAAAAGGATTCCCATCATGCACAGCAGAATCCAAGAATGGACGCCAGCACATGGAGTAACATAACCTCAGGGAAAAGGTAGAACCTTGACAGTTTGTTTGCGCAAAAACACACACAGGCATGTTGCCTATCACATTTCTTGAAATGCTAAAATTCCAGGGCAGTAAAAGAGAAAAAAAAAAACAAAATGACCCATTTTTGGAAAGTAGACACCTCAAGGAATTTGCCCCGGGCATGTTGAGTCCATGGAAGATTTTATTTTTTGCCACACATTTTTTGGAAAATGACAAAAAGTTTTGTTTTTTTAACACAAAGCTGTCACTTAAATGATATATTGCTCACATATTTCATGGGAATATGTGGGATAACACCCCAAAACACATTCTGGTCCAAACTGGACCACTGTAACTATGCTAAAAATATACAGTATCATGCTGATTCTTCTGACTGTGGCTTGTGTCTTCACATTTAGGGCTGCGGGTGTGGCCTTCAAACTGTGCCTCCACAGGCCAATTTTTCCCCTCCATACCTAAGACCTGAAAGTTCTAATTATTTTTATAAATATGACTTGAGTCTCCCACTTTAAAGCTTTGTTGGTGCTCGCTCTCAAAAATAGTTGACATTCTGTAGCCATTCAAACCTAAGGGATGAAGCGTTAAATGATTTTTAGGAAGACCCACCTGTGTCTTCTGTTTTCTGTATATTTTGGCCAGTTTGGCTACCAAACTGGGGTGACCCTGGACCAGAGGTGTAGCTAGGATACTTTTTGCGCCCAGGGACGAAGGGCCACTTCATGACACACACCCCCCCCGCCTTCATATGGTCCCTGTAGACCCCCCCCCGTCCCGATCACATTGCCCCTCCCCTTCATCCATGGCACTACTCACCCAGCTTGGCTCGGCTTGGCTCTCCCCTCGTCCCCTCCGGCACATGTCCCGGACTCACTGCCCTCCTCTCCGCTCCTCTTCCATCCGGCTTCCTCTCTCCTCTCATAACTCACTGTGGATGGCAAATGTATCAGATGACAAATCTACAGCAGCTGCTGCAGTGGGGATCTTGTGACCTCATTTTTGGCACCGTCAGGGTACATATGTACCCAAACCCCTGCCCCCCCCCCCTAGCTACGCCCCTATGCCCTGGACAGTTGTACCCAACCCCAAAGCTAAGGGTTCTAGATTCTTTACACTGACTATCCACTGTGCAATCCAACCAAGTGTTAAAATGCGCAACACTTATAAAATGTAACTAACAAAATGATGGAAGCTAAAAGAAAACGCCGTGTTCCTTTTGTAGTGTGTTAGGTCCCTCTGTCACTAACCAAGAAGTAATAGAGGTGATAAATCTATAAAAATACTTACAGTGGATTTTAAATTCAAATGCCTATGAAGGATTGTACTCAGTTATGGAAAAGAGGGGCTCTCAAGGGTTATAAATTACATCTTAAGAGACCTTTAATGAGATTTCAGCCCTATTGTGTTCCTACAACACAACAGACTGTCCTGAGGGAATGCCGACATTTTAAAAAGAATTAGTAATTATACTTGGTACAAATGTCTCCAGGTGAACCTGAGTATCATGTGCAAGGCACAACATACATTTCTTCCTCTTGATAAATCCTCAGACTGATCATTTTATGACTCTTTATGCTGATAAATTTAAACAAAGATTACCTCTTGTGGGTCTCATCAGACCATCCACTGACCACGAATACACTTTGTGTGCTCTTCCATCTGATCTCTCTGATGACTGCGGGACTGCCAACATTTATTTGAGAATAAACCTGAGTGTTTAATGTGTAGGCAACTACTCCGTAACAGGTTTGTTCTATTAATAAAATCCTCAGATCCATAAATTTTATTACAAATAAGTGAAACATTAAAACAGAGAGAAAAGAAAAATGAATCAGACAGAGATTACGTCTCTCACTCTTGTGGGTCTATCAGACATCCACTGACCATGAATGCACTTTTTGGGCTTTTCCTTCTGATCTATCTGATGACTCTTATCACAAACCTTCTTATATTTTTCTTGGGTCCTCACTGACTCCCATCTGTCACAACCAATGTATTTCTTTCTGCCAACTTGGCATTTGGACATGTTCCTATTCATCAGTGACCGCTAAACCGACACCGAGGATGCTTCTATGACCATTGCCACAAAAAACAACGATCAATCTCCATTCCTGCCTGTATAGCCCAAGTCTTTTTTCTATCTCTGCTCTTGCTTGTTCGGAATCATTAATTACTCTCAGTTATGTCCTAGCGACCGCTACATTGCCAATCTCTGCCGCCCCCTACATTAACAAACTAATGATGTCTTGGAGGGTCTGTGCTCGTATGGCCTCCATGGTCTGGGTTGTAGGATGTTCTGTCTCTTTGCTCCATACTTTTACTGTTGCTCAGGTTGTCCTTCTGCGGACCAGTCTTCCACCACAACTTCTTTTGTGACCTTACCTCATGTGATTCAAATTACATGTACTGACCCCCTTCATAAACATGGTGGTCCTATTCCTATAGGTGGTGGTAGTTCTGTCAGTCAGGAAATCGTTCTTATGACCTTTCTTCCATATGTCTATATTCCTTAGTTACCATCCTCAGAATCCGTAGTAAGACAGGAAAGAGAGGAAAAGCATTCCTCCACCTGCACCTCACACCTCACCGTGGACTCCATCTCTTTTAGGCTCCTTAATTTTTATTTACTTTGTTCCATCTTCCAGCAATATGGACCATTTTAAACAAATTGTCTTCAGGTCATATCTGCCCTCATTAACCCATTGCTGAATCCTCTGATCTACAGCGCTGAGGAACAAAGATCTCAAGGAGTGCACCTTAGGGAAGGTCCTATCATCACACTTGAAGTTGATCCAGGACGTCATTCTGAATTTGACACTTTTTTGTATTCTTAGGGACATTTTAAGTTGACTAAAAATGTTGTTAATGTATTTCATAAAATGTAAACCTGTCGAGGGATCATTGTTGTACTCCAAACTCACCCTTGCATGACCAGTTGGTCCTTGTAACCCCCACAGACCAAATGTAGACATTTCAGTAGACTTGGTTCACTTCATAATAACTCTGTGTCTATTTTGAGCTTACCATAATTTTTATACATAGACTCTTTAGAACCTTAATCATCATCTCCCCAATAAGACCTTATAATCCCCGCCCCCCCCCCCCTCCCCCACCCCCCCTCCCCCCCCCTCCCCCCCCCCCCCGACCCCCCTCACCCCCCCCCCCCCCCCCCCCCCCGACCAGGCCATTTTTTGCATTACAGCGCTGCATACTTTAACTTGGCCAATTGTGCGACTCATGCAATGCTGCACCCAAATTAAATTTACATCCTTTTCCCATGAATTGAGCTGTCTTTTTGTGGTTTTAATTGCTCTGCAATTGCGCTTAAAAAAAAAAAAGATCCGACAATTTTTGAAAAAAAAAACAATATTTTTGAACATTTTGCTATTAAACATGTCCAGTAAAAAATCTAATTTCAATGATAAATTTAGGCAAAAATGTCTCCCCGCTCCGTGTCATTGCTAAAAAAAAAAAAAATCCTGATACGTGTAAATTATTGTGGTTTACGTGAAAGTTACAGTGTTTACAAATGCGCGGTACAGATACGGGGGATTTTTGTTTTTTACTAGTAATGCCAGCAATCAGAAGACTTATAGCAGCGGGCATTCTGGACACTGAGGGGGTGGAACTGACTTGGTGTCACTGATATCCCCAGTGACACCAATACAGTGATCAGTGCTAATAGAAAGCACTGACACTGTACTGGCCACTGGCAGGAAGGGGTTTTAACATCTGGGGCAATCAAAGGGTTAACTGTGTCTGGGTGTTTTTTACTAGGGGTTCGTGTCTGTGTGCTTCACTGTAAGCACACTGCTTTGCATGGCTGAGCCATGAAAAGCAGTGTGCAGGAGCTTACAGGGGAGAGAACTGATTTGTTTACTGACAGTCCCACGACCCCCCCCCCCCCATTGGAGATGCTTGCAATCACTGGGTGCCGGCGCGAATAATCACCAGCCAGGACCTGGTGATTGACAGCCATGGTCCTGAATGGTGGAGCAGGTAGGGTATGCGCGCAGGCCTCGTAGTCGCCCCCTACCTGGAAATACAAACTCACGTATAAATACATGAGTTTTGCGAACCCGTCGTGCCTCCCCTGTAGCAGTACTTCTGGGGATGGGAAGTGGTTAAGTGGCACACAATGTTTCATAAATACCATGCTCAGATTTTTCAAAATTGGACAAAAATGTGAAAAAAAAAAGTTCATTCATGAATGGAGTGGGAGGGAAGGCTCATTGATAGAGGCAGGGGAAGGAAGGCATCATAGATGGAGGGTGGGGAGGGAAGGCTCATTGATCGGAGGTGTGGGATGGGAAAAGGCTTTTTTCATTGATGGAGGTGGGGAGGGAAGGCTCGTTGATGGAGGTGTGGGAGGGAAGGCTCGTTGATCGGAGTGAGGGAGGGAAGATTAGATTGATGGAGGAGGGGAGGTAAGTCTCATTTATGGAGGTATAGAGAGGAAAGGCTCATTGATGTGAAGGCGGGGAAAGGAAGGCTTACTGATGGAGGGAGGGGAATAAAGGCTCATTGTTGGAGGTGGGGAAAGGAAGATTCCATTGATGGAGGTGGGAAGGGTAAGGCCTCATTGATGGAAGAGGGGAGGGAAGGCTCATTGATTGGAGGTGGAGAGGAAAAGGTTCATTGCATGGAGGAGGGGGAAGGAAGCTCACGAAATGGAGATGGGGAAGGAAGGCCCGGGATCTGGTGATTGACAGCGCATGGCCCTGAATGGCGGCACAGGCTTAGGGCATGCACTCACCTCGTGTGCGCCCTCTACCTGATATGCAAACTCACGGTATATATACAGTACTGATTTTG